TTTGCTTTTCCTGCCACTTTCTATGGTGTAAATATTCCCACCATGGCTTGTTTCAAACTCCCAGTGGAGCCTGCTCTGGCACACTATCAGAAGGGCATCTAGTCCGATCTCCCACCCAGTGTTTGAGCCATCTCTCCGCACTCATGGGAAGATGGTCCAGACCTGCCTCCACAGAGCTTCTTCCCCCAATGAGGGTGCATTTTTCCTGGGGGCACACAAGATGCTTCCTCCCATGCCAGCCCTTCTGAGGTGTAAAGTCTTCTCTTTGAGTTTTACTTGAATATTTTCTTCTCCAGATCCTTGTAACTCACCTCAGCCTTGACTCTGAGCTCCCCTCACCCCACCTCCATCCAAATCCCCTTCCCCTGATGTGCCCTTAAAGTGTGCTGCCACTGCAGGCCCCACCCCCACCCCTACCCACCCCCAGCCCTGCTTCAGCGATTTGCTGAGGCTGCTATTTAAATAGCCTGGCCCTTGGGCCCAGGATAACTGGCAGCAACAAGAGGGTGACCAGGACTGTGTCAGTGGCAAGGAAGGGCAGCTTGGGGGTAGACACTGGCTGGGCTCACCAAGAAGGCATGCACAGATTCCAAACGGTGACTTCCCATGCCCTCTGTGCTCTCCCGTGTCTGGAGTTTGGCAAAAGGTGTCCTTGTAAGCCTCCTCCTACCCATTCAGATCACCCAGTTGTTTCAAAGCCGGGCATCCTCCTACAGGCCAGACTGAGGCAGCACCCTCACTGTTAAATGACAGCGAGAAGCAGGGTTGGAATGCAGGGCGCTGCCTTCCGTCAGCCCAGGTCCACACACAGCAGAATCTCAGGCTGCTGCTCTCCCCTGCAAGTGACTAACTCGACTCCCCACTCCCACCCCTGCTAGCCTGGCAGCACTTCTCAGCCGGGAGCCCTGCCCCTGCCCATCTGCCAAAAGTGAGTGAGTGTAGCTCAGTCCCTGGGGAGTAAGGAAGACAGAGTTGATCACACACACACACACACACACACACACACACACACCACATAAGAATAAAAACCCCAGGTCTTGGGGCCAGTCGTCCAAGAACTCTTGGGCCTGCTGCGCTCGCACATCCCCACTGCCCTTCTCTTCTTATCCCACTGGCGCCAACCAGGACTCACTCTTCTGCCGTTTGTGCTGAGTGAGGTGCCATGTCTGCTGACAGGGAGGGGGGTTGAGGGAGACCAGTGAGCAGGGGGACATGAGAATTCTGAAACAGGCAAGTCTCTCCACTCCCCTGGACTCTCTTTCACCCATTTCCGTGCCTCCCCTCCCCGCTCCCATGCCTTGGAAAATGCCAAATGTATCCACTTTAAAATGTAATGGGATTTACAATCGTGGGAGTAAAGTTTGTCTTTGAGAAGAGGCTATCTAGGGAGCACAGGCTTCTTGCCTCTCAGGAAGCCTCACAACTCTGCCTTCTCCACCTAAATCCTAACAGGTCTAGACCTGCTCCCTCCGGGAAGTGCACCAACAGTTCTGGTTTCAGGAGGCTCAGCACTCCTGCTATGTAAGTTCTTTGGGAGTATGAGTCCCATCTCCCGAAGTGGACTGGCCATGCCCAGAGGGCAGGACAGTGCCTCACACCTCTCTGAATCCCTCCAAAGAGGCTGACCCATGCTGGGAATGTTGAGTTTTCAATAAATAATCATCCATCCATTGATCCATCTATCCATCCAATTCATTTATCTATCATCTCCATCTACCCATTCATCTGTCCATCCGTCCGTTCATTCATCCATCTATCTCCATTCATTTATCTATCATCTCCATCTACCCATTCATCTGTCCGTTCATTCATCCATCTATCTCCATCCATCCACCCACTCATCATCCTTCTATCTGTCCATCTGTCCAGAACGCATGTACGATATGCCTACTATGCATCAGCACTATGTAAGGTTGGAGATATGGACAGATCCTGTCTCCATGGGACTTGTGTGGTGGGGGATTGCTAGGTAAGACCAAATAGATTGTTTTTATTAATTCATAATGCCTAGCAATTATAGGGCACTCTGCAATTTACAAAATGCCATCATAGCCTAGTGGATTCCTGAGGCAAGCTGAGACTAGAACCCAGGTCTGTCTGACTCTGTTCATTGGCCCGCCCAGCATTGCAGAGCTGTGCTAAGAGCAATACTAATGATTTAGAACAAGAAGAGCACTTTCTTACTCCAGGGTTTCCCCCTTCCCGATGAAACCCTTCGGATGAGATGGCTCCATCCCAGAAGATACCCTGTTGATGTGTCAAGGGGACTCCTGGGGCTAGCAGGACTCAGCCCTCTCAAAAGACTCCAGTTTCTGACTGTTCTTCCTCTGATTGTGCCAGCAGCTGCATCTGCCCATGCAGAGCCCCAAGCTGGGCCCCAGTTCCCTGGGCTGGGCAGAGTCTCTTCTGCCTGGCTCATTGCCATACCCTGGGAGTTTCTCCTGCGTGAGGGTCATTGGGCTGGATCTCAGCCCTCAGCTGCCAGATTCTAAGACTCATCCTTGTATCCCCTGTCTCCACTCCTTCCCCCAAAAACACAAATACCTCCGGGGGTTGCTGGGACAGACAAGAGAAGCAAAAATAAACCTTCCAAGGCACTTACAGCTGTGGCTGCTTAGCATCCGGCCTCTGAGGACAGGTGGGCGTTCTCGCTGAATCTGAGAGGTCTCCACTTAGATCAACAGTCTCAGCCGGGTCAGAGGAAAAAGGCTTTGGGAGCAAAAAAGAGTTTGTTGAGATCAAGCCAGTTCCTTCTGAGTTTTCCTCCTCTCCCGCTCATGCACAGACTTGGGAAAGTTGCAAAAGAGGCTGGGCCGGGTGACCTCAGCTGTGTGGGTGGAGGGGGTGGAGTGGAATAGAAAAGCTAGGCTTCAGCGCTGCCTGGATTTGGGCCCTGTGAGAATTCAGTTTTTAGGGACTCTGTCCCT